CCTTTCTCACCAAGCGATGCCAGGGAAAGCTGGGCCAGTGAGAGTCCCGACTCTTCCTTTGATGTGCCCTCTGGAGAGCTCACCCGTCCCCGGAGCACCCCACCCCCAACCAGGGCTTGGCGCGCTAGGCCAGGCCGCAGAGCAGAGACACCAGACCACAGAATGGGACGGCAAAGGGCCCAAAAAAGGCCATTGTCATGCACTGAAAACCTGAGGATTTACATAATCAGGCTTCACATGCATTATTCATGGGCTGCCTCATTCATACACAATGCAGGGGACGTGCCAGCCTGCTTGGCGCTAGACATCCTTCAGCCGAGAAGGATCTGAAATGGCCAAGTGAAACCTGTGTCAGGGTCCCCAGACAACGCGGAGACAGGGAGCTTTCAAATTTGTAGAATTCACCGTTTGGGGAAAGATTTATACAAACCATAGCCACAATCACGGCATCACCGATGGCATCTTTTATTAAGTGCTTACAGAGCAGCAGGCACCTGGTCCACAGCACACCCTTCCTCTCACCCGTCAACCTTGCCAGGGATGCTGGCGACTGTAGGCCCGTTGGAGAGAAGGGAGGCAGAGTTGACAGAAGGCACCGTTCCCTGGCTACTTAACAGCAGAAACAGGATTCCCGCCTACCTGCTGCCCTCCCCAGCCCACGTTCACTTCCCCACACCCCTTCCTCTGCAGCCCCCTTACCAGGGTGTCCCCCTTATATTCTCTCACCGTTGCCCCTGGGGTTTTCATTCCAGGACTGGTTTGCATTTAAGGCTTGTTATTTGTATGTTGTCAGAAATCCTTGTTTGACAGGAAGAAAAAATAATAAATGTTTATAGTTTGGTTGGATTCTCAAGGACACTTATATACATCTGTCCTGGCTGGCGTCAGTTCCTTCCAGGGAGTATGTATATGTATATTCATTTTTTTAATGGAAATTAACAGAAAATAGAATTCCTTTCTTCTAAATTTTACACCTAGTATTTTCACAAGAAGCCTTAATTTTTTTAGTCTCCTGTAGAAAAACTTCAAAATTGTTCATCTGTTCATAGACACGGCATGGTTGACATATTGGGAGATAATATTACTCACCTTAAGCTTCAGAACCCCCCTCAAAAAATGTAGTTTGTAGTTTTGGGTTTTGGGGTTTTTTTTTTATAGTTTGTAGTTTTAATGTTTGACCATCTCTTCACCAAGCAGAACTTTCAGATTCAGAAGTCATCCTTCCACACATAACATACCTTTGGCAGTGAAAATGAGACTTGATGTAAAATGCTGGCAAAACCTCAGTGCTGGGCGTTCACAGAGAAGCTGGTGGTCATCGCCCCGGACTCTGGAACGCCCTGGGGCCCTGTCCCGGGTCTGTGGCTCTCTGCATGTGGCGGAGGGGCAGTGACCGTGGTCCAGGGTGCGCTCCCCCTAGTCCACCTCCCGCATCACTAGAGAAGGTGGCAGAGTTCAGAGGTCAGCTCTGGAATCAAATAGAGTTCAAGCCCTACTTCTGCCCCAAGTGACCCTGAGTAAGCGGCTTGCCCTCTCTAGCTCAGGTTCCTCAACAAAAACCACCAAAATCGTGAACAGGGGGCCTGCTTGGTGGGGCAGCCAGATGCCTGCAGTGCCAGGCACATCGCACATCGCAAGCCCGCTTACTAACGTAACGGGTAAACAGACGCAGCTCATGGGTGGGTGGGGATTCCTGTATTTCTTTCAGGGAGCTTCCTGCCAGCTGCCGCTCTCCACAACCCCCCAGACGCTCTCCCCGGTCCTCGCAAAGCCGGCGGCTCTTGTGTGAAGCTCTTTTCTCCTTGGTGAATACGACCAGGGCTGCAGCCAAGAAAGGACCCCAGACACTATTTTGTGAATGGGTTAAGGCTGGGATTTTCAATAGGAAATTTTTAAATACACAGAAGTTGCCATTTGAGAAGCACACACGCCCTTTCTTAGCCCTTTCTTAGGGCCTGAAGTGTGAGAAAGGCTCAAGTGCCCTGGCGGCTTCTGGAGGCTGCTCAGTTCTCCTGCCAATCAAGTCTCCGGCCAATCAAATTCCAGCTAAGAGGCACCGCCACATCTTTGCCAAGATATCAGGCAGGAGCCCCTAAGCTTCCCTCTGCTTCACTTGCTCAGATCCCTCATCTTTAAGATGAGAATAAAATAGCACCTAACCCACAGGCTTCGATTCAACAGGAGCTAGTGTACAAAACTCTTAGCACATAGGACCAAGTCGGATACATGCTCTCCTACCATTATCCTTATCCTCGCTGTTCCGTTAATCTCATTGCAGAGCTCAAGTGGTAGGGTGTGTGCTTAGCATGTATGAGGTCCTGGGTTCAATCCCCAGTACCTCCATTTAAAAAGTTAAATAAACCTAATTTCTACCCCCCAAAAAAAATCCCACAGTCTATTAAACTCATTATTTTCCTAGATTTCCTTGGGCCTAGGTATCCTCAAGATCCTGGTTTCCTCTGTGCCATTGTGTGTTTCTGAACAAGAAGGAGAAACTGGCAGATACGGTGTAGGAGTGGGGTGGTGCTCCCCTGCCCACAGTGATGAAGCGAAATGTGGCTCGGGTGGAGCAGCAAATGGATAGAAGCTGCCCAGAGAAAAAGACCCTCCCCCGCCCCCACCCCTTCTGCCCACCAATTCCAGGGAGTCTCAATGTCTCCTAGAAGCCTCAGAGGCGTGTCCCTGAAGGGAACAAGTGAGGACGCATTAAACACTCTCTGGCTCACCTGATGTTTTCACTCAGGAACGTTTAACGGATCTCGAACAGAGAAATGGCAAAGAATCAGCACCTTGCAACTATTCCTTCAAAGAGAAAGAGAGGCAGGTATGGAGAGGTTTTCTGACCTTGCAGCCAGACACAGAATAGATACAGTATTTTCAAAGGGTAGGAGCCTATGGAGTGTAAATGTGGGTGTGGGCGGCCCAGGGAACCTCCACACCCTTCCCCTCCCTTCCCCTCCCCCAGCCCAGCCCCCACCCCCGCCTGCAGCCTGAACAAACGCCCTAAGGGATTTAGTATAAATATGTCCTAAATATTGCATGGTGCATACTCACACTAAAAAAATTCTTTGGTTTCATTCTGAAAGTCCAGTTTAACTGGGCATCCTGTATGTTACCTGGCAACCCCGCCAACAAATGTTTACCGAGTACCAACTAGACACCAAGGCGGAAGGCAGGAAAGCAGGTGTCGCAAGATGGCAGCCCACAGATACACTTTATTTGGCTCATGGGATCTTTTTTTTTTAACGTTACATTTCAAAATAGGGCACTTTCAAGGAACACTCTGGATTTCCAGCTTCCCTGGAAAACTTGGAAAATCTGGACATGAGACACTAGGCCCACGTCCCACAAGCCCCGTAGAAAGGCACTGGGCAGCAGGTTTGCTGCTGTCCCCACCCGGCTCACTTCACCCACTTCTTTTACTTCCCTGGCCCCTGCAGGCATCCGGGTGGCAACTCCAGTGGATGCTCAGGGCTCTCCAAGCAGTCCCCTTCCTGACACCCCCGCACATTCACTTGCAGAGCGTCAGTCTACAAGGGAGCCCCAGCTCCCTCTCACTCTTGCGTCCCCAGTGCTTAGAGGACTCTCTTTCTTCAGTGAACCATCCCTGAGGTGCAGAGTCTTGAGGAGATCAGGAAATGCCATAGTAATCAGACCCCAGGGGAGCAGCAGGCCCCGGGATTTTCGGTGATGCTGGCTTTCAGACAGGTCCTGGCCGTCCCCGCCAGGGAGGTCAACCGCCGTGGCTTCCATTGCACCTCAGCCACTGGGTGGAAACTCACCAGTCACCTGCAGCCTCTTCCACTGACCTGAGAGGCTCTACTTCCCGCTAACGCAGATCTGTCCTCCAAGAAGTATACAATGGCCCGTGTAGCCTCCTTAGTTGACCAGCCTCCTTCTCTGCTGGAATCTGGAACAGGGTAGCATTGCCCAAAAGCCATGCCCCCTAACGTAGACCCACATCCTCACCCCTTCCCCTTCTGCAGACCTATATCCTCACCACCATACCTCCTCATCTAGGGAGACTCAACATTCCATCCAAGTGGGTAACATCTGAAAGCTGAGAAAAATCCATTTTTCTCTGATGTAAAAGGCAAAGGAGAACATAAGCTAAATTTTGTCAATATTCTTTCTGTGTTAAAGAGACGAATGTTTATAGAGACGGTGAAGAACAAGATGCAGAACTCAAATTTCCAGGTGAGCCAGAAGGGAGAAAAGGGAAAACCATAGAGCGTCAGCAGGAAACCCAGTGGACAGTAATACCACATCTGTTATGTGCTGAGCATTTGACACGTGCCAGACACAGCGCTAAGCATGTGACCTGCATTATCTCATTTAAGCTTCACAGCAACCCTGTGGGGTGGGTATTGTTATCATCCCCAATTTACAGATGAGCCTCTGAGACTCAGAGAACTTATTTGTCCAGAGCCACAAATAAGGTAGGAGAGCAAGAAATCCACACAAATCTGACACCCAGGTGAGCGCTGGCCAGCCCTCCTTTAGGCAATAAACCGTCAGGCAATAAGCCTGGTACATTTCCAGTGGCGTTTCTCTTGAATTTTAAGGAAGCATCCTTTAGAATACAGTTTTTTTTTTTTAAAGAGTTGAGAATCAAGGCTCTGAAATCTTAAACGTGTTGAAACGTTGCCATTCACAAATCAGCCCTGGAACTGGAATTAACCCAATCCACGTTCCCACTTTGCAGAAAGTAGAGTCGAGCTCTCAGGAAGCTTGAAAGCTGAACACATTTTCGTTGAACAAGAGCAGAGACACATGCAAGTTTGATAAAAGGCCACAGTCATTCTGAGGCAACCAAATTATCATTGGAAGAAAGAAAGATATTCTAGGTGAGGGATATTTTTGGAAAATAGAAGCTTCTTCTCAACCAACATCCTTGTTCTAAGATTAGAAGGTGGTTACTACCCAAAGCAGGATGTTAAGAGGATGGAGATAATCTTGAGGTCCCCCCTTGATCTGAGCTCTTTGCTACCCTGCAAAGTGGGAATGATTGGAAGTTTGTCATTTACTCATTCATATATATAGTTGAGTCTGGAGGAGGCAGAAACCGCCCGACAGGTAGGTTTTGTCTGAGGACCACCTGGGGATGTGAAATGACAGGGGAGATACTGGGATGGGCCCCGGATGTTGTGGGAACACTGCTTCCCTGAGATGTGAGGCCTCGTGGAATTTCTCAGCGCCTCTGGGTTTACCAGAATGGGGGCAGATGGTGCTTCCGCTAAGAGCAAAGAGCCAGCTTCCCATTCTTCCTGCCCTCCAGCCCAAGCTTAAAGGCTTGGCATCTAGGATCGGCACAGGAAGGTTTCTTCCAGGTTCTTTGCCAAGTCTAGCTCGGGCATCTCCTTTCTCAAGAGTGTGCCTGGAGTTCTTCGGGGGATGGAGTCAGCACAACCACTTTGAGAAAGACGGAACACGGGCAGTCTGCTCCTTCAGCTTCACCCACTCACGAGTCCCCATCTCTAACAAGCTTCAGAACTAGCACCTCCTTCTTCTTCAAGGCCCTCTGGGTTTTGTTCTGTCCTCCAAAATGCCACTCACCGATTTGATTTGATTTTTTCCATTGCAGCTAACAGTCTTCACTAACTGTCAGTCATATGCGCAAGGGGAGAATCTTCTAGTTAACAAATACTCATGGAACGCCTAGCCTAGGCCACATACTGTGTTAGGCACTGTGTATAGAAGAGTGAACAAAAAGATACGAGCCCACCCTCATTCAGTCAGTATCTATTTGTTGAGAGTCCACAATGTGGCAGGTACTGTCCAGGTGTTACGGTTCAATCACATTCTCAATGAGAACAGCGTCACCCCCGAGAGGGAAGAATTCTATTTTTTTAATGTATGAATCTTAGACATACACACAGTGCTATCTGTAATTTTCAAATTTCGTGGAGGTGAGAATGATTAGGAAAAAAATGTCTAAGAAGGCTCCTTAAGAGAAGGATGATAATGAAAAAAAAAAAAAGAGTGAGAAACACTGGGTTAGATCAATGAAGAAACACACAGAACTCCCTGCCTTTCTGGCTTTAATTCTGGGGCCAGTAAATAAATACACACTTACATATATCCATACAAATAATGATTGAATGATTACTTTGTACGAAATGTTTTGAAGACAGAGTCCAGTGCACTGAGCTCCAGAGCATAAATCACAAGGACACCCCCACCCCCATCCCTACCCAGGCCAAGGGCTAGGAGAAGCCTCCCCTAAGAGGAGCTGTTTAAAACCAGGACCTGAGGTGATGTGCGGATGGACTGGGATCTTTCTAGAACCAATGCTTGTAGGTGTCCGAAGCAGCCATTCCAGCATGCCTTCAGTTAATTTCCAGTTAATTTCCAAATTTCCAGCTTAGATTTCATCATTTAAATGACTGCTTCTGTCCCTGCTTTGTCACTCTAAGGGTGGGGATGTGGCTCCAAACATTCAAGCAGAATGCCTGTCACTGCCTCTGGTTGTGGGTTCAGGATGGACCCTGCCAGGTCCCCCCACCCCTCATGTCCTCACTTGCATTTTCACGTTTCCCTTTCCCCACCTCTTCCTTTTCCCAGTCCAGCCATCCTGTCCGCTTTCTGCTGCCCTCACTCTTGTCACTCAAAACAGTGGACCAAAGCTTGCTCTGTGGTGCTTCCCACCACAAACTTGTGGCAGACCTGCGGTTCGGAGGACCCTGGGACCAAGGAATCTTTATTTTTAACAAATTCCCAGCCCTACACCAGGTCAGGGCGCTGGCATTTGGGGACCATTCAGAGCCAGCAATTTTCTTGAAAATCAAATGAAAAAGGATACAAAGTGGTTTAGAGGCGAAAGATTTTCAAAATTTACTCCGCTTTCCTTTCATCTGGCCATTCCAATCAAGATTTACCTTGTGGGCTAGTGAAGAGACGTTAGCCTTTCTCACCCTGAATGATTTTGAACGCAGATTCTCAAGACACATTCAAGACTCCTGTCAGTCACTGGCACGGGTCTAGCACTGGAGGTGATTTTTAAATCTGTCTTAAAGTGAAAAGAGCTAAGAGATGGTCCTAACAGCCCCTTCCCCTCAAATCCACCCAGAACCTCTTCTCAACCCCTGAGGGAGACAGGATGGAGATTCTGGTCCCTATTTGACAGATGAGGAAACCGAGGGTCACACAGTCAGTGGCAGAGCTGAAACTCAACCACCCACCAGCCTTCTTTCTTCTCACAGGCGCTCATGTGTCCTGAGGGCTGGAGTCAAAAACTTACAGGATGTAAGAATGGCAATTTGAAGCCTGTTGGAAAGAAACTTGCAGGTTACAATTGTATCTACAGTACATACAGAACTGAGAGACAGATTCTTGGGTTGCAATTAATAGAAACCTATTCAGAAAGAGGGAGGAGGCTTTCATAAGGCTATAGGTGAGAGGGCCTCATCAAAACGGAAAGCTGAAAGAGAGCCTGGCTTCAGAAGAGAACTGGTGAGCCACCAGATCTCAGGCATCATCTCTTACATGCACGCACACACACAGACCATATCTCCTCCCTGTGTCTCCCTGTGTCTGCTGATCTCTCCTCTCTCCAGTCACACGGCAGGAAGGGATGACCTCATGGTCCCCCAGTGCGAAAGACCAGCCCTGGAAGCAAGTAGCCTCTTAGAGCCCATAACCCCGAATCCTGGGAGTGACCATCTGAAAAGCACAGTCTGTGCCAACTGTGACCAGGGGGAGGGTCACACATGTGGCTGCCGGGAGCCAGGGGCGGTGCTCAGAAAAAGGCTTAGACAGACCCCCTCAAATGTCCTGCATTCTCTCCTCCTAAGACACCAGAGACATAAGACGTTCAGTTCAGTGACAGCTTATTTAAGAGAAAGAAACTCCACCACAATGAATGAGCCCATATCAGAAACTCCTGGTTTCAAAAAGATGAAAATGTAAGAAGAGAAAACGTTATGTGTGTAACTGGAAGGGTTTACACCAAAAGGTGAATAAGGTTACCTGTGGGTAGCGTGATAGTGGTGAGTCATTTTAGCTTCTTTTTGTTCGTAGCTATATATATGTATTTATATATAACATTTTTTACAACAAATATTTTATTTTGAGTAAAAAAGTTTGAAATATTTTGGGATCTCACTACAATTATGGAGTTTGTGCACTTGTTGTTCTTGCTTACTGAAGGTTGGAGCCAGAAAAGCCATCCCAAAGATGGACCAAGGAGAGATGCTGAAGAGAGAAACATCCAGCAAATCCAGCCAGAGCCTTCTGTTTTCTAAGCCTGGCGGAAGGAACTAGAAACATCGTCCTGCCAGGCCTCGTGTGATCCTCCGTGAGTCAGCGGGACTCTTCTGCGTCAAAAAACTAAGACACCTTTTTAGGACTTTAAAGGTTGTTATCCTAGTGTGTTGCCTCCTAGACTGGTACTTTGCACGACGCTGTATTTTGAAATTCATACTCCTGGGCCTGGTAGATACAATCATGTGCTTGCATCGTGAGGTACCTAAATGTCACACCTCCACAGAGCCCCAAGAAACCCGCAGTGGAGGAAACAGCGGAGAAAACACAGGGCATGTCCTGAGGCCACAGGACAGAACGGTAACCTCAGGACTGTTGGGCCATGGTATGGCGCATTTATATCTGAGTTTACTGTAATAAATTTGAACACCAACCCATTTTATCGCTTCCATAAAGGTGACTCACATTTATATGGCACCCCTCCCCCAAGCCCTGGAAGGTAAATAGTATTATATTCCCCATTTTGCAAATGAGGACGCTGAGGCCCAGAGAGGTTAAATGGCCTGTCTGGAGTCACGCAGCTAGCAAATTCAAGAGTTGGGTCTGGAACGTACATTTCTAACTCCATCTCACACTGCCCGTTCAGCCACACCAAGACAGTCCAGTAGTTCAAGTCCTCAGCCATCAGGACAGACCAAGTACCCAGTCACCGAAGAGCACACACTGCCCGGGTGGACACACCGCTTTTCCATGGTGTTTGGAGAGCCCCTCATTTCTGCCCCCTCTCCAGTCACCTGTCCTCTCCTTTCTTTTCTTGTATGGCCAGGACCACTGAACAAAACGGGAGGAAGAGCCAGAAGTCATAAGCATCATTTATCTTTTAATTTTTAAGAAGCCACAATAAAAGTATTTTGATATTTTAAAACCAAATACATTCTTTATGCTGACTAAAACTAGAAGGGAATAGGAAAAATTCTTTGCATGATACTCCACTGGAAGATACATCTTCCACAGTGAGAAGGGTTAGCATCACCTGACCTTAAAAATACTCTTGAAAATTCCAGAAGTTTTCCATAAAGAACATGACATTACTTATGCTGTACCATATCCCCAAAATGCAAAACAGTAATCTCCAGCACCAGAAAAGATCACTTGGCTAGGCAGTAATTAAGTAGCTGGCTCATGTTTGGAAGCCAAATTGTGTGAAAAAAAATACTTTGGTTGAACAGGAATGTTTAAATTTGCATCAGTTAAATGTAACGCCTGTATGACTCCCCTGTATTTCAGATCTTTCAAAAGACATATTAATTTTTATCATATGAACATTGCAACCTATGGTGACGATTTCTTTTCTTCACTCCCTGAACTGGATAGTTTTGGGGGGGTGTCTCCTCAGCCACACACCTCTTTCCCTGAGAATGCACACCCACCAATCAGGTGTGCCCTACCTAATGCTGCTCTCTTGGCCTCAGCTGGTTGGCTGAGCAGTAGATACCTTATCCAAGCCAGACCAATCAGGTTTCTCTTCTTACTCAAGCTTGGGCCAATCAGCGTCTCTGCCCTCGGTATTTGGAAGTGGGACACGGCGTGGCCACACAGGTCACTATGGGCACTGGAGCTGAGACTCCCAGTGCAGTTCCCAGCTGGAATGGCCATTTCTCCCACTGTGTTTGGAGAAACAAAGCCAGTCTTAGAAAGAGATGGCTGGGATAGATAAGCAACAAGGAGAGACAAGAAACGAAGACCCCCGGAGAGACTGTGCAGTGGACACTATAAGCCCTTTCGTCATTGCCTCCCTCTGCTATTATAAGCTGAAGGCTTACCTGGCCATGTTTCAGTTCTAGCCAATGACATGCAAGCGAAGGCCCTAGGCAGGGCTTCCCTTCTGGAATAAAAGGCAGGTCTTCACTCGGAGAGAGCTTTTGCTCTTTGTCGCTTTGCCTTGTCTTCTTTTTCTCTCCTGGAGCACAGAATTGGAGCTGGAGCAGCCATGTTGGGAATTAGCCAGGCAACAAGCAAGAGGCCACAGCTCACTTCAAGGACTGGAATGGGAAGACATGAAAGGACTGGGTGGGGGCCCAGTGGCATCACTGTGCTCCACATCAGCCTGAACTTTGTACATCCTGTTGTGTAAGACAAATAAACCCCTATCTGTTTGAGCCACGGTAGTTAGGTGTACCTGTTTGTACCATCGAGCAAACCACTCAAAACTTAGTGATTTAAAATGGCAAATATGATTTCTCATGATTCCTTGGGTCAGGTGGACACTTGTACTGGTCTAGGTGGCTTGGCTGGGTCTAGATGGTTTAGGATGGCCTCGTGAACGTCTGGTAAATGGCAGACAAGCTGGGTTAGGGCAGTGGTTCTCAACTGGGGGTGATTTTGCCACCCAGGGGACATTTGGCAGTGTCTGGACACAACTTTGGTTGTAGGTGCAACTATTATCTAGTGGGTAGAGGCCAAGGATTCTGCTAAACATCCCACAGAGCACAGAACAGCTTCCACAACAAAGGGTTATTATTGCCAGAGTGTCAGTAGTACCGAGAATGAGAAACCCCGGTCTAGAGAGTCCTCAGCTGAGACGTCTGCCTCTGCTTGATGTGGCCTCTCATCACCCAGCAGGCCAGACCAGGCTGCGTGTGGTGGGCACAGCTTCCCAAGAGCTGCAGGAGAGAGCAAGCCCCAAAGCACAAACACTTTCACAAACACTTTTCAAGTCTCTGCCTGCCTTATGTTTGCTAATATCTCATCAGACAAAGCAAGCCACATGACCAGAGTCCATTTGGGAGGGGCTCCAAGTTTTCGCAATCCACCCACGTCCAGGTTTCTGTTATTTGAAACTAAGGGCATTCCAACTGACGCAGAAAGTTACCCAGATTCCTGATGACTTTCTGGTTCCTGGTCTCTTTCCTTGGAAAGGCCAGTTCCAACACCTGCACTTGGGTTCCACTAGGACACTTTGTATCACTCAAGATTCTCTGGTTGCAAACAGCAGAAGCCTGTGGTGGCTAACTCAAACTGAAAGGGGGTTTACTGAAAGGAAATGAGGAAGGTTAGAGAATCAAAGAGGAGGCAAAGCTCAGAAGTTAGGACAGCCAGGAGCCGGCTTCTCTTTCCCATATGTATCCCCTTTTTGCTTCAGCTGGTCTGAGTTGCTATTATTTGCAACCAAAATGGCCTTTACCAAGACACTCTGCTACACAGCCCCCACTGGTAGCCCTGAGAAGCTACCAGAGACCTTTCTCTTGGGGCTGTACCCAAGGACAACAAGGTACCCACAGTGGCCCCCAAACTCCCAATCTTCTGATCCTCCAAGAAGCTAAGCCAAACAACTCCCTTCCACCCTTGCCAATGGTAGTCCATTTGGATTCGTGACTTTGCAGATAAGGTGCCCTTCTCCAGCAGCTTGGCAGAGCCACAACGCCTGCTGTTGTGGAAACTGGAGTCATGAAGTGTCTGCGGGAAAAGAAAAAAAAAAAAAACCCACAGCTTCCGGATCTGCATTCCAAAGCATGTTCCTGGTAAGTGGAGTGATTTCCAATTTTTTAGGGTCTTAGGAATGAAAGCAATACACTGCCGCCGATGAGAGGAAACCTCACACCTGCTGATGCTAACGTCCCCCTCGTTTTCATGCCCAGGCCTCTTAAAGCAGAAGTTAGGGCGTCCAGCGAGGGTAAACTATTTCAGCTTATCAGCTTGGCCTCATTTCCATCAAGATGCGCTGCTTGCATCCGTCTGCTCACTGTCCTGAGTTATTTTGGGCCCATTCATGACCTTATGTGCCTGCTTTTGTTTTTAAACATTTTTCTTTGTCCATCTGTTCCACAGGAATCCATCGCAGTGCCTCCGTCCTGTGGTGGGAAGCATTAGCAGGCTTCTTTTTTGAGGTTTCTCTCATCTTTAGCATATTGCTTTCATTCCAAAGACCCTAAGATACGGAGGCAGAAATTTTATCTCCTGGCTCACTGTGGTCTTAACGTCATAGAGATCAGAGGTGCCCTTTGGTAAATCACTTTTACGATTAAACAACCAGGTAGCAAATACTGAGTACCTACTCTGCACCAGGTACTAATGATACTGTACTAGACCTCAAGGCCTTGACTTTGCTCCCTTTTCTTTCCCTGTTCTTATCTGCTGCTCTCCTGAAAAGGAGTTGGAATTGTTAATTTACTGGGTGTGTTGCAAGGTGGGACGGGGGCTCAGCTGTGACATTCCCATCTTTTCTGGCTTTGTATGGAATTACTGCTGGACATTCTCAGTGCTGCATGAAGCTGTGACCCTCTTCTGGGGGTTTCTTTGTGCCTTTCAGCAGTTGAAGTTTAACAGCTAATAACAGGAAACTTTTTATAGCGTCCTTGCCAGCCATCAGACCCTGTGCTAAGCACGGTCCAGACATTATCCCACTCAGTCCCCACTGTGTGCATCACTTCTGTTTCACCCTTGAAAAAGGTGAGCAGTAAGTAACTTGCCCAAGAGAAAGAGCCTCAGAGCCCACACTTTGTACTCAACTGCTCCAATATATCACTTTCCTCAGTGAAGTCCAGGAACCAGCTCATTATCCACTAGTTGATGAGGATGGGGTGAGCAAACTTTTTCTGTCAAGGGCCAGACTGGAGTGAAAGCCTTTTTTCCTATAAACGGCCATTTCACTTTGTGGACCACAGAGTCACTGTCATCACTACTCCACTCTGCCACTGCGTAACAAAACCTAAACAAATGAGTGTGGCTGTGTTCCAATAAAACTTTATTTATAAAAATAGGCAGAGGGCCAATTATGCCAACCTTGTGTTAAACCCTCACTCAGACTAGATTGTTAATATCTGCATGGCTATTGTCTGCCGCCTGATTATCAGGAAGCCAGCCAATCATCATCTTCATCACTGAGAGCATCTTGAACTTTTACTATGTACCCTGCACTACACTAAACGCTGTACATGACCTTTCTCATTTAATCCTCTCAAGAACTCCAGGAGGAGTTAGCTATCACCATTTATAGACAATGCAACTGAGGCCTCTAGAAAGGTAAACCAACCTGCCCAAGGCCGCCCCAACGGGATTTTCAAACCCAGCTCCTAACCATGACCCCACACTGCCTTTTACCGTCACAGCCCTGCATCTGGACAACAGGAAGCTTTGACGGTGAATCTGGACACCTGCCCTCCAAGGGACCAAGCCTGAAAGAACAGAGTCTTCACCACACACCCCTTCTTCTAGGTGTCTTATTTACTAGCCCCTTCTCAAAGCCCCCTGCTTTCTTTAGTTACTACCTGAGTTCAGGTGTCCTTGGCCTAGGCACCATGCTCTCTTTCCAGTGGCTTTGCCTATCTCTGCATTGTGCTAGTTTTAGAGTCTCTCTTTCAGTTTCCCAGATCCTCGTGTACCCCTACAGCAGCTACATGTGCTATTTATCCGTACCTCCCATTATTCCTTCCTCCCTGTCTGCTGAGCAGGGACCTCTAAATGACCTCTGGGCTACACTGATGCCCAGAGACCAGCAGGTCATCCGGCCCCAATCTCTATCTGATGCTGCTGACGCTGTCCTCGGAGGAGCAGGGGACAGACACTTGAGAGGCCTGTTGTTCAAGAGATCCTGTTAACTTCTGTGTGGAGTCATGTGGGTGCATAGAGGTGTCACTTTAGCAGCTTCTCTTTCTTGGCAGTGACCTTGAGACCTGAAAACAGGCCACCGGATACTCTGGAGGGGACACTGAGTAAACACCCCGTGTGGCCCAAGCCCTCAGGCAGAGCAGGCCACTGTACATTCAGTCAACCTTGATTTCTCCAGCAGGGACCTTGGGCCAGGCACCATGCTGGGCCCAAGGGGCCAACATTGAACCAGACAGACAGGTCCTTTTCCCCAGGAAGTTGTGCTGGGTGGGTGGGGTAGGAGGTGTCAGATATTTTATTAACAGCTTCACTGTGGGTTGTCATAAGGGCTGAGTCCCAGCCAAGGGAGGGTTTAGCTGGAATAGATGTAGCCTCTGTCAGTTCCCCAGCGTGGGATCCAACAAATTTCACTCTTCAGACTGGCTAGTCCTGCTCCCCCACCCTCATCCCGCTCTTGCCCACTACCAGGAGGATCCCAGGACCAAAGCCCGGTGCCCAACACGCTTAATAAACAGGTCTTGATTGTCTGGATGTAGACACACGCTGCTTTCACAGAGAAGTATAAAAATCGAACTCAGCTGCCCAGACTCTTACCATTTTTGAAAAGGGGCCAGGAAGGCACTGCAGATGTAACACTCCTGGCTTTTAAGACACACACAGATACTTTTTAAGAGTTTAAAACTCGGTTAAGACACAAGCCTATCGGGTGTTAAACCTGGACACTGAACTGCCTGAGATTTAATAGAAGCAGAAATTTACTCTCAGTGTCTGTTTCCCAGCCTGCCCAGTAGGGCATGTGCAACTAATCTGAAAGACCGTCTCGGTTTTCAAGTAGATTCAACGCATCCAAGATAACCATCGAAAGAGAGCTCTCTAGAGAGACAGGTTGGCTTCCAATGGCCTGCAACCACCTGCAGCCCTTGTCTCCAGTGTGCCCTGTCCCTCCTGCCCTGCTTAGCCGTCCTGGGTCCCCGTGAGCACCTGCCTGACACAGCTCCTTCCCCGCTGCAGCTTCCAGACTTTGCAGGAGGTGAGAAAGCCTCTGAGACCAGCTGGGCTGTGACCCCATTCTCTGCTCTCACTCCTCCAATCGCTCCAGATGAGTATCTGGGCTGTCCCTGAACTTTGACCTTTGTGCACCTTTCTCAATCCATCACGGGTTTCTGGGTGACCACAGAGGATTTGTGATGATTAATTAGTAAACTGGTGTTTATAAAGTGCCAAGTAAGGGCTGTAGTTTATGAGCTGACTTTATCTTTGGCGGCCTTCCTAATCCCTTCTTGTTTTACCAGCATCTCAGGCTGGAGGGACCACCCAGTGCTGTCAAGCTCTGGAATGCCCCTCAAAGTTTTCTCCATCTGCCCCCATCGCCCAAGAGCTCTTTCCAATCCCTCCCTGTTTCACCCTCCTCTTTTTCAAAGTACTGTTGTTTTTCTTAATATCACTTTACCCCTCCCTGAAAGACAGTTACACAAGTAGATGTGGGAGGAAGAAAAGAAACATAAGTCAATGATGACTAAGTCTGCTTAGCTCCCTTGTCGCTGGAATACTGTCAGAATTGGCTCTCACTCACCCCTGCCTCTGTAAAAATCCTTTGCCGAGGGTGTGATTTTTCCTGAAGATCATTCTTTCCACATGACCAAATGCTGTAATGCATGACCAGTCCGGATCATTTCTTTCTACCCAAATTCATGCTTGGGGTACAGTGCTCAGGGTCACTCAGAGTGATTTCCCCCACTGAACGGGCAACTAATGGATGGTTCCTGGAAGTTTCACCAGCAATTGGGGATCATTAGTCATCCCTGCCTTTTCTTCCTCCACCACTTCTCTGGTTTCTGAATAAGTGCCTTTCCTGAAGTCCAATGACCTCAGAAGGAAAGAGTTCAAGTAAAATGCAGCATCCAGCATGCATCTCTGGCTTTAGAGCAGATCAACCAGGCCTCCAAAATGAGACAGTGCCCTGGACAGCATGAGGTCCCATCCCCCAGTCACAGAATCTCAAGAGTTCTCAACCCCTGGGAACCTGTGAAATATCAACCTAAGAGATGTTAAAAGGGCTCACCCATCCGGGTGGCATTTCCTGAGCTCTGCCTGAGTATAATAGCAGCAAGGCCTGGGCATTGTGCTCCCCTTTTGCAAGATGCAATAGGTAATGAATAGGAATTCTGCCAACTGTGCATCATGGAACCTGCCCTGCCTCTGGGGGGTTGTGTCCACACAAGCCAAATGGGTAATTGACCAGGGCAGTTAATACGTAATGCCCATGTGAATGATTCAAACCAAACCAAACCAAATCAAAACAAAACAAAACACCAAAACAGAAACAACAACAGCAAAAAAAAAAAAAAAAAACCCTAGGTTTTTCACATATATATAAATTGTTTTTCAGGAAGGCCAACCCTCACCTAATCTCTTCACTGTTAAAAGTTTGTTCCCAGATGCAAAACATTTCATAATAAAGACAGCCCTATTTCATGCAGATCCATTATTAATCATAGGTTAGGGCAAGCTGAGGTTCACCAGATTTTTTTTTTTAAGTAATTAGCTGCTTTGTAAAGAAAGCTAAGAATTTGCATACTCAAGCATTTGTGGGCATAATTTTTAAGTTTCATTCTGTCCCTAGTATTTTGCATTCAATTAAAAAAACAACTATTTTGCTTCTGTTGAGTCCTTGAAGGACACCTGTAGGAGATACAGAAACTTACCTTTTGTAAGTAGCTGAACCAAACTGCCCAAGACCAACAGAAACTTAATTCCAAACTTAAAAAAAAAACAAAATCATGTCATTTAAGCTGGACATCTTTATTGGACTCAGACACAATCTCAAAAATAAGTTAAAATTTCATATTTTCTGAACACTGAAGGGTTTTTTCCCTTTGTTTTATCTTTTTAAAATGCCTTTTAAATTAATTCAGAAATATTCTTAAACTATAGCAAATCGACAGATACCAATTGAGGGTCTGTTCTGCACAAATCAGTCCGTAACAACTTGCTGGTTTTAAATTCTCAGGTGCTCTCTGCCTCCAGAGCACTGGTTCTTTAAGCTCTGCGTCCACCTTTTCTCTGCAGGTTGACCAGTGCAAGCTGTTCCCAAAGAGTGGTCTTCAGCATCACCCTAATATTTTAGGAATAAGCACAAATCAGTGCAGCTTTTCCATCAGTTATTCTCAAACTTCACTGAGCCAGACTCCCCTGGGTGCTTGTTAAAATGCCGATTTCTGGGTCTCATTCCAGAGATCAGTTTCATCTGCCTGGATTGGAGCCTGGGAATCTGTATTATTAAACCAGCCCACCCCCTCCCCGCAAGTGGTTCTGTAGCTGGAGGTCCACACCTTTGCAGTTTTCAGGTGACAGATCAGACCACAGAGGGAAATCCTCTCTGGCTTCTTCCCTGACACCACATCCCCTGAGCCTTCGGAGAGGATATCTCTCCTCTGGGGTCCCCACTGAAGTGGCAAATCAAGATCTCCCTGCCAGATCCCCTAAAATAAAGTCACAGGCGACCGCGTGGCCCAGCAGCTATTCTGCCAAGTCATTCATGTGAATGTGCTGGCCCAGGGGGAGAGGACCAGCTCCTTTTCCCTTTCCTTCTCCCCGTGTCTTGGAGGACTTCTCAAGGCTGAGGCCCAGGGCCGTTTCCCTGGCAGCCTCTGGTCCATCCCTTTCCGAAAGATGTAGCAGCTCCAGCTGCGGTTACATCTAAACGGGGGTTCCTGCTCACCGGGTCCACCTTCTTCATTACCCTTGCAACCCTCATTGAGAACGCCAGTGTGTAACATCGAGTCGTCTCCATGGCAACCGACAGGGTCTCACACATACACAGGATGACGACTCCACGGCGTGGGGATTCCAGAGAAGGCGGCGCCCCCCTGCGCCCCTAAAACCCACACCCAACTGCAGGAGAAGGCCCCTCTCTTCTTTCCCGCCTTGGTCTCGGCCCCCAGCCCGACTTCTTCCATTCTGCTGGCACAGTGAGGACAGAGAGAGAGGATGGGTTTCTACGGGGCCCCCCAACCTTACGGGGGGATGGTGGCGGACCCGGTGCCCCCAGCACACTTGAGCCGCAGCACTGGAGACCAAGCCCGCGCGGGCTGCGCAGGGCTGGGAGCCGGGGCGGGAGCGGGCGGGCCCCGCGAGGGGCGTAAGTC